CACGAGAACTTCCTAGGGGGTCACCCATCCTGGGAATGCTCTCACCCGAACTCACTTAACTTCGGAGTTCCGATGGAACCCGAAGCCAGTGAGCTCACAAAAGGCCTCGTTCTATATGGAGGTGGGCATGTACATATAAGGCATATCACCCCCTTTCCGTTGGTTGATGTGGGATGTTACAATCCACCTTCCTTAGGGGCCCGACGTCCTCGTCAGCACACTCGCACCACACGGTAGAGTGGCTCTGATATCATTCAATCACATCCCAGTCTCAACTCCGCTATAGCACGATATTGTCCGTTTTGGGCCCTGGCCACACCCTCACGATTTTGTTTTTGGGTACTCACACGAGAACTTCCCAGGGGGTCACCCATCCTGAGAATGCTCTTGCCCGAACTCGCTTAACTTCAAAGTTCCGATGGAACCCGAAGCCAGTGAATTCCCAAAATGCCTCGTGCTATATGGAGGTGGGCATGTACATATAAGGCACATCACCCCTTCTCCGTTGATCGATGTGGGATGTTACAGTCCACCATTTTTTTGCAAGGCAACCAATTCCTTTCAATTGAGAAAATTCACCTATTCGAACGCATATCAAGAATATAATGCCCAAGTTGATCTTCAAGTGTCAAGAGTTGATAAGTAGTAAATTCATTCGGATAAAATTTCCAAAACATATTAGCTTTTGTTCATCAAAAGTCGAGAATGAATCATTCAGGCTCAAACTTGCCAAACAAAGAAGCAACTCTGTATTTACCTCATCAAAACGACTATTTAATTCCACAAGTTGCTTATCAAACAAAGAGCTCCACATGATAAGGAGAGCTCCACATGATAAGGATGGAAGTTTGTGATTCTTTAAGCCAATGTTCTAAAAAACGCTAGGCGCTAGTCGAGCGGCGGGCAGGGGTCTAGTGCTTAGGTGGCTAGGTGGATTTATGTAAATTTATTATATATCTTTTAAATAAGTGCCTATTTACACTAAAAAAAATATACTTGTATGGATAATAAAAGAATGATAAAATGCAAAAATAGAAGTAGAAGAATACACAAAGTACATCCATCCAACAAGTTCAATATTTAAAAAACAGTAAGCATATAATCATAATGAGGAGCATTCTTGGATAATAGACTAAATTCTTCTTGTTCATGATCTTTGCATTGGATTGGTTATAGATTAAACTATTTAACGTTGTTGTATCTAGTTTTTTTTTTTTTGTATGTATCCCCTCAAAAGTTCTCCAATTCATTTCACAATTAGATGAACTTGTAGTCAATCCATCATTTGCAAATTAGGTACACCATTTCCATAGGTATATCACCATGAAACTAAAAAACAAAAATAGCACACAATTAATATAAAAAAAAAAAAGAACAAATCCGCCTAGCTCCAGATCGATTTTTTGAAACAATTTGCCCTAAATCGCGGCGGGTCATCACCACCTAGGTCGATTTTTAAAACACTGCTTTGAGCTCCATGCCGTGATCTCCCTCGAGTAACATATCCATCATCCATGCGTTTATTTTTTTTTTTGGCTCTTGGTGTTTTTTTTTTTTAATTATTAAACTAAGGGTCCAAAACTATGTTGTTTTGACAAAGTAATATTTATTAAAAAAAATAATAAGAAAAACCACTCTTATAATTGGAGGGCATGTATGAAGCTAACTCCAATCTTTAAAGGGACACCACCCAAGTTATCCATGGACATTCACCGAAGTTCGGGGGATCATCACTCAAATTATCTATGGACATTCATCGATGTTCAGGGGTCAGCTGACCCCCTGCCCCTCAATGCATCCGCCTCTGGTTGCAAACGAAAAAATACCAAATAAAACGGATTTCTTAGTCACTCTACCGTTCCGAACTATTAGTACAATATTATGTGTAAGATTTTATCCACATAAGTTACCTAACATTATACTGGTGACTTGAAATTCTACATTAGCAATGATCCCATCCGGCATAAAATGAAATGAACGAACAAAATTAAACAGAAATGTATAAAAGACTAAAACGCGAGTGTTGCGATAATTTTCTCGTACAAAAGTCTCTCTAATGCAAATGATGAGGTCGAAATCCCCACCCAAGGTTCTTCACCAACAGGCATTTCTTTCAAACTTCACAGTCAAATCAACACAAAGAAATAAAGGAGAGAAATAAAAAAGATGGGAAAAGATGTAGGCTTTAATCATTATTTACCATCGTCACATGGAGAAGAAGCTAGAAAGGGGAAAAAGGGGTTCTGTGTCCCGCTTTCTTTGGAGAAACAACATGATGACCTGCGGTGGGTCGACCTTTACTTACTTCACGACCCCATGAAAAGTGGTTGCACCGGTAAATCGAGCGATTGGATTCACCCACAACAATAACATGGACCAGTTAAAATTAAAGATGCATGGTAGACCCCGACTCAGATTGCAACGTTTTTCATCGTTGCAGCAATTTTTTATCTTTAAAATGGAACTGGCCGGTAACTACACCATAACAATCATATTTTCAGGAGTCGAGAAAACTTACAAAGTCATTTTAACCTCTTCTTGATCATTATTGTGTGGTTCATTAGTGTTATGAATTAAACCTAAAATGTACAGTGTGAAATATAGGCCTAAAATTTGTCCCCAATTACTGACGATATTACTATTCTAGCCTCTAGGCTAGATTAAAGATAAAGGTATGTGTTTAAATCCAAGACACAATGGTTGAAGAAAAATACAATATTTACCAGGACAAATCACCACTTGTAACAATTAGTAAACTAATAAATAACCATCCAACTCTTTTGCTTTTTCTTATTATTTTTTCCTTTGGAAAGAGAAAAGGTATTCACACGATAAATTTTTAAGTGCTAATAACATCTACGATAAAGTTGAAAATTTCATAAACAAGTTAAATTTCTCCGAATCTACAACGTGGACAAAGAGACAAACGGTGGGTGATTACCATTTTTCATTAAAACTAATAATTAAGCAATTTTATGTGTGGATATATATCAAACTCAACCAAATATTGGTTGACTATGTACTATTGTCCACCAACCGTAAATAAGCATCAAATGATTCATTCTGAACGGTACATTAATGCTTTAAACCTCAACATAATCAAAGTAACATGATTAATGGGTAATGCTTGTGTCCCCTCATCAATGTGTTGTTTACTTGTTCCTTTATTTATGATTAACAGACTTTTACAGTCTGCTAAAATGATTTCTTAGATTAGTATAACTCTTCATTTTGATTTTTGAGATTTAAAATGGATAGAAGTTGCTCCTGAGTTTTTCTACATCAATCATTTTGGTCATTCTATACAAATTTGTACTAAACAAGGATAAAATGAAATAAATACCCTCAAATTTTTTTTAAAATCATTTTGGCATATTGTTTATTGAATTGAGGGTACTTTGTCAATTTGGTCCTTATTTAACAAATTTTTCCATAGAATGACCAAAATGATTGATAGTGGACAGACTCAGGGACTACTTCGATTGATTTCAAATATCAGGGACTTAAGTGACGAGTTACGCCAGTCTTAGGGACCATTTTAGCTAAAAAGTCTTCTCTTTATCAACTAAAAGATTATATATGCAAAAAAAATTATTCAATTTTGAGATCTTTTTAGCCATTTATATGCATAAAATAAATAGACCGTTTATCCTGAGGATGCTACTTGTTATAAAAAAATGTTCATTGGTTTAAAGCATGGATGACTAAACAATCTCCAAATTAGACGATTTTTTACAGATATGGTCTATAGATGATAATAAGGAGATTGAACAGTTCCGATTATAATTTTCGGACAATAAATATTTATTAATCGTATGTGCAGAACAAATAAGTTCCTCAATATATATATATATATATATATATATATATATAAGACAAAAGGACAATCACTGAAAGAATCTATGCTATATTTATTCTTCAACTTCAATCCACATCATTGAATGAATGGGAGAATCGTTTTAATTGAGTTAATTGATAATGAACCTTGTGCATTTTGCAAACTGGTCCAAACTTTGCTTTAAAAATCAAAGACTACATTTAAGGCGAGGAAGCTTCACATTTGACTATCAAACATGTAGGTTACCTTTCATTGTTATGTTTATTGTTTCTTACCATGATGAAAAAAATTAACCAACCACCAACTATTCTATCAATCAGCCAGTAGTTAGTCGATATTTCTTGTCTCAATATTAAAAAGAAAAACTATTCAATATATTAATTTAATACAATTTAAGTTTATTTAAAAAAAAAAAACAGACGCACAGATTAGGTTAACAAACTCAATTCATTTGTTCAAAAAAAAAAAAAAAAAAAAACTCAATTCATATATGCATATACTACAAATATATCTATACTATCTATTAACAAATTCTCTTTGTCAACAAATGAGAATGAAAAGACAATTTTAACCCTCAATTCACAATTCAATAAAAACATTCTTAAAAAAATGATGGGCATAAAGATAATTTCATATAAATTTTTTTCACTGTTTTTTCTCCCCTATCATCCACATATGGTCAAAAAATCTCTTTCTATTTTTTCTTTTCACATTTGTTCTAGTGAAAAAATCATAATTTTCTCACACGTGGGGTTTTTTCTAGTCGTCGTAAAGAAAAGGCAAAAGAAAGCGTATTATTTATTGAAAATTTTAACGAAAAGTTTTTGGTGTTGTCCATTTTAACGAAATCATATTTTTACAATAAAAAGTCAATTCTGGTGCTATTCACTTTACCCTTTATTTTGTCTTTATCATTAAAACTTAAAATTTTCAAATTTTTTTCATTAATTTTTCTTTATTTATCTTTCTTTTTTGGATGGGATGGAAATGGTCCCATGAACGACAAAAATGACTTCCCGACAAAAATAAAGAAATAAAGGGAAATACCAGAAAATCAATAAGACCAATTTCCACGTGGATAAATATGTATGTACACGTCCACGGTTGTTGTGATGATAGAAAGGGGAGGACCCACAAAACCAAAACCCCCCAAAACCCACGGTCCTCGCTTTTCAAAGTGGGTAACACATCTCTCTCTCCTCTTTCTCTTACTCTTTCTCTCTCCTCTTTTAGCTTCAGTTTTACAGCAGACACAGAAAGGAGAGGAGAGAGTGAGAGTGGATTCATCTGTCTTTCTCTCTCTATTACAAGCATGCAAGCCCTGAACCATGTCATAGTTTTCACTTTTACCACTCCCAACTCCCTTTATTCACACCCACTGGTCACCTCTCTCACCACTACTACTCCACTAGCTCTGAATTCCCACGTCCATGGAGGACTCGGCCGACGTCTCGGCGGTGCTCGAATTCCTGAGAGCAAACGGGTTTTCGGAGGCCGAATCCGCTCTCAAAGAGGACATGATTGAGAAAGGCGAACTGGGTTCTTTCGATTACGAGAAGTTCTTGTTTCCGATGGTTCCTCCGCTGCCGCCGGTCAGAATTCCGGCGAGTTTCCGACGACCTGAGGTTCAGGGCGGTGGAGAATGCTCGGGATCGAGCTCCGCGGAGGACGATGAGTTTGTGAGCTTGGGGTCTTCTACTTCTAACAAGTGCTCTTCAGGTAGTTAGAAACTTTAAGTTACTTACTTTCAATCAAAATTAAGCTTCTGGTTTCTGGGTGAATTCAAATTAAGCATACACACACACACATATAGATAGATACATATATGTATATATACACATGTATAGTGTTAGGAGTAACTTAATGCTTAATGTATAAGTTGTATCTTGAGCTTGGGAACAGAGAAGATTTCCTGGCGATGATCGTGCCACTATTTGTTTCTGTTAGTTGATAGTGAATTGGAGAAGTCTCATCTTTTTCTCTGGTTCGCAGAATTTACAAATCCGTATGGAGTTCGATCAACATCTCCAAGCAGTTCCCAGGCTTCATCTGATAGGTTCTCTCAGTTTGGCACGGCACGCGATTACCACGATTTCGATATGCAAAATGACCTGTTCTGGCACGATGAGAAAGATGATGGAGGAGACTTCATGACTCCTTGCTTTGAAGGGCCAGACTTCTTCGCCTGTCCCACTGAGGATAAGTTCATCATGACTTCCGATACAGACAAGGGGAACGAGAAAGTGCTGGGTCTGAATTATAAATCCGAGGCATTTCAATCGGAAATAAGCCTCGATTGCCTGGACAAGAGTTGTCTTACTGATGTTTCTCCCGTGGATGATACAAGGGAGGTTTATGCGACGAATTATTATCATTTTGAAAAGAAAAATCAGTTGGAAGAAGGCTTTGAGGAACATTCTGCAGAATGCTGCTATCCAAGTTTGAAAGAAACCGATTTCAACAATTGCCAATTAGATGTTTCGGGGGGTATCCTTCATATGGATATTGATTCTGCTCCATATCACAAGTTAAGCAAAAGTTCTAATTACTCAGCCAAAAGGAGTTCGAAAAATGGGTCCTCTGGTTTAGACGATAATGTTGCAGTGAAAGATTTCATGCCAAAGGGAGTTAAAGGATATGAAGGAGTCGGTGAAGTAAAGAAAGGATCCCACGAGCCTGAGGTTGGTGCTGATGGAGATGGTGTTGCTCCCGATGATTTTTTGATGTACAATAATGACAAGGATTATGAAGTTTTCGAGTTGAGAATCGTACACAGGAAGAACAGGTTTGTTGCTCATAGTGTCCTTTCTATGGTTTTGACGACTTATTGATCCATCTTGACTGAGAATATGCATTTACCATTGTGAGGATATTTTTGTATCTTTGTTTTGATGTAGGATTGAGCTTGTGTTTGCATAAATTGATAAGTAGCTATCAGTTTTACTCATGTGTTCTGCTGTTTACAGGACCGGATTTGAAGAAAGCAAGGATTTCCCCATTGTGCTAAAGACTGTAATTGCAAGCAGATACTATGTAACGGAATATCTTGGTTCAGCAGCTTTCAGTAAGGTTGTACAGGCTCATGATCTTCACACAGGAGTCGATGTTTGCCTTAAGATCATAAAGAATGATAAAGAATTTTTCGATCAGAGTCTGGATGAGATTAAACTTCTAAAGTTTGCCAACAAAAATGACCCTGCAGACGAACACCACATTTTGCGACTTTATGACTACTTCTATCATCAGGTATTTCCTTCCGATCCAATATAAGAAACTTCAAAAACCGTTTTGATATTCTTTGTTTTGAGTGGGATGCCGTAGTTGTCATTCACTGAGGCTAAGTTTTATAACCTGACTGATGCTAAGTTTTATAACCCTATGATGGCTACCTTTATCTCTTTCGAGATGGTTGATTGAGATTCTTATAATAGCATGCATTGTTCATACTATTTAGTGTGCTCAAATTTATTTTTGCAAAACAGGAGCATCTCTTCATTGTTTGCGAACTCCTTCGGGCAAACTTGTATGAATTTCAGAAGTTCAGTCAAGAATCTGGTGGAGAAGCTTACTTCACAATAAGAAGGTTGCAGGTTTGTTTGTATTAACTCATAAATGCTTGCCCTGCTAGATTCCATCAACCTATTAACATGGCTTTCCAGCTGCCTTAAAAATTAGTTACGAGTAACACAGCTTACACAGAACTTAAATGGTGCCCTTTTTTAACAGATTATAACCCGTCAATGTTTAGAGGCATTGGACTACTTGCATCGCTTGGGAATTATCCACTGCGATCTAAAGCCTGAAAACATTCTTATAAAAAGTTACAGAAGATGTGAAATAAAGATAATTGATCTTGGAAGCAGTTGCTTTCGCACGGACAACCTGTGTCTATATGTGCAATCTCGTTCCTATAGAGCTCCTGAAGTCATTCTTGGCCTCCCTTATGACGAGAAGATTGACATGTGGTCTCTTGGCTGTATATTGGCGGAGTTATGCTCTGGAGAAGTATGCCCCCTCTTTTGCTTGGTTTTATTCATTATGTTCAGCTCTCTTTTCTTATTCTTGTTGAAATTCGATTGCATTGTTACTGATTGGCTATTATTTTTTCAGTATCCTGCAAACTTCTTACACTGTTTATGCCTCTCATATGATATTTTCTTTAGTTTCCCATCAACTTGAAGGAATAACTCCTCAGGTATAATGTTCATATATAAATACATTCATGTTCATAATATCTCTGTCTTGACCAGGTGCTCTTTCCAAATGACGGGGTTGTAATGATCCTTGCGCGCATGATTGGAATGCTTGGTCCTATCGATCTGGATATGTTAGTGAAAGGTCAGGAGACCGATAAGTACTTCACAAACGAGTTAGATCTTTACCACATAAATGAGGTGCATACTTCAAATCTTTCTCTTTAGATGTAAGTTGCATGCAGTCGGCTTTTTTCTGGATAATATGCAAGGAGAACGTATCTTGCGATAAAGTGTAGGATCTTTCTTTGATTTTAAGTTTCATTCGTTCCACAGAATCGAAAAACTTTTGTAGGTGTTTCCGGTTTCTCCTAATAGGAAATCATCAGTTCTTTTCCCTTTTATAAGTCAATGTATAAATCATTCGGACTAAACACTTTGCCATCCCACATTCAGGAAACAAGCCAACTGGAATACATAATCCCAGAGGAGTCCTCCTTGGAGAATCACCTGCAAGTAACCGACATTGGGTTTATCGACTTTGTCAAAAGCCTGCTTGAAGTCAATCCTGAGAGACGCCCAACCGCAAGGGAAGCACTAGAGCACCCATGGCTTTCCTACACATATGAATGAACTCATGGGGTACGTAGCAGTTCTCCTTGTGGGTTCATTTGTAAATTGAGTTTTGAAGAGCAATTTTCGAACCACGATCTGCATCCGGTGAACACTGGACTGCGATGCGCTTCGGATTTCAGTTTTGGTTTCGTGTACATGGCCTTGTTTTGCATTGTCTATCGTATATTCTCTCGTTCTGATTTAACATATTCATACTTTTCTTGTTCAAAAAATGTAATGTTTGAGTGGCTAGGTCATACAAATGTATAAAACGTTCTGCATTAATATGGTGTTGCTTTCTGATTCACTTATTCTAAAGAAATTCAATTTTTCTGATGCTTAAAATCTTTCCGTTAATGACGCTGGTCCGCTTGTAACTTCTTGGTTTTTTATTTTTTTATTGTCGGGTCTAGGTTTGACTCTCAAAATGTTTATTAGAGCTGAGAGTCATTCAATTGCGTAACGTATCATTACTACTTGATACATGCATATGCTATATCACACAGAAGAGATTTTTCGATGTAATTAGTGATACGATATATCTATCTCATCACACACGTCTATTGTTTTAACAGCAAAATCTTGTGAATCAACAAATGGAAGCAGTCGAGTGTCGTGTCATGTTTAGATGAGAAAAAAGGGTCTTCAAATTTGATTGGCGGAAATGAAACAAAAGAAAAATACTTTGACTTGAAAAGTAAATAGTATTTAATTTAAGGATCAGTGAATAATTATTTGATTCAGTAGTGGCAGCGGTGATTTTGTAAACGACACCAACGTTGTTGTAAAGGACAAAGGATTGTCTCTTCTGATTGGCGGGAATAGGTTTCACTTTCCCACCTTTCTCCAACGCCCACGCTCTCCTTTCCCGCGTGCAATTAAACTCTCTTACTTGACATAAACATTTATAATTTTATTAAAATTTTCATTAAACATTAAAGGAGATAACCTTGTTATTAACTTATTACAGTCTAATATAATCTAATAGAAAAATGATGATAAACATATACTAATTTTCTCTTTGCAAAAATCCATGTTAAAAATAATCTGCGAAACTCAGCTTCCATTTAATAATCGTGTCATATAGCTCTTAGTATCATAATATGATATTTATCTCATTTAGAAGTAAGAATCTTAAGTTCAATTTTGATCGATAACAAAGTTGAAGCAAATTAATGTGACTAGCCAATTGTGTGGTTTAGTTGAAGTCTCCCACCACCTTAGTATAAAATATATCGTTATGTTAAAAAGTATAAAAAAAAAATAATCATGTCATATTCAAGTCATAGGAAATAACTTTGTGCAAGTAATGAATTGCCCTATTAGTTTGGCCTTTTCTTTTCAACCCCTTGCATCCTGCATTCAAACTAGGGAAATTTAATGAAAAACTTTCGGTACTATTCACTTCAACGAAAAACCACATTTTTTACACTAAAAAGTCAATTCTGGTACTATTCATTTTACCCTTTATTTTGTCCTTATTGTTAAAACTCAAAGTTTTTAAGCTCTTTTCATTAGTTTTCTTTTCATAGTATCCTTCCTCTGCTTAGTATAAATTAATGAAATTATCACTTTTATCATCAAAAAGAAAAATCGTTAATTTCATGTTTTATTTTAAATTTTGGAAAAAATGATATATTTACACCAAATAGTAGGACTAAGCTACACAATGAGTCACTTATATTAATCGTTCAAATTTGTCTTCGACAAGAAATAAACCTTAAATTGCTCACATACAAATGAAGAAATATATTATCAAACCATAATGCTAAGTGATAATTAAGAATCACTTTTAGATAAACTCATATCCAAACCTAAAATTGCTCTCTTACAAATGAAGACAAATATTACCAAACTCTATTGCTAAGTCATGATTAAGAATCATTTTTTGATAAACTCAAATCATATTGTGTTGAACTAGTGTTAACCAATTGCCACTCTACTATTTTTTTTATTTTTTATTTTTTTTGTCAAACGATAGATTTTGTTAGATTAACCACCGACATGATTCAAACCCACGCCATCATATAAGGGCTCAATTTATTTTCATTACTGTGGTAAATAGTCACTTGTAATTGCCACTCTACTATTCACCACCGCCAAAACTCTCACTCTCGCCTAAGCAGCGCGTCGGGCTCCCCATCCCCTCCCTCCTCTATCTCTCTAGGCTTTGTCGAAGGTGGCATCGCCAAGGAAACAAGGAACGAGAGAGAGAGAGAGAGAGAGAGAGTTTTATTGCAGAAGGGCCAATCAATCAGCTTCTTCTCTTCGGAGTCTGACAACCGAGATAATGGCCGAGTTGACTCAGGACGAGGTGGTCTACTCGCCCAAGACTCTCCAAGTCTGGCGAGCTCTGCTCAACTGGCTCGGCTTCTTCTTCCAGATCTTCCTCCGAATCCTCCGAGCTCTAGGCCACCACCCCCTCCTCTCTTCCTCCTCCTCCTCTTCCGCTTCTTCCGCCGCCTTCAAATCACTGCCCGTCATCGAGCTGCCCGAGAACGACTCCCCCGCCGCCTCCGCCGTTGTAATCGCCGACACTCCCGATTCCGACTCCGACGACCCTTTTGGAAAGCTCACGGTGCGGTTTTCAAATTAAAAAACTTTCTATTTTTGAATCCTGTTTAAAATTTTATAATTTTCAGAATTTCGAATTGCTCACCGAAATTATTGTTCTTTTGTATTAATTCAAGAGAAAAAATTGATTTTTCTATATATAGATTGGGGAACAAGAATTTAATTAGCTGGAATTATACTCCAATTGAATTATCTGAATCAAGTGTTTGATAGGAACTTAGAAGCTTCTATGGTTCTGGTTTAGTTAATGCAGAATTAGTAAGGGCTGGTTTGGGAAGCATTTGTGCCCAAAAGCACTTTTGCTAGAAGTGTGTTTATTGTAAACATGTCGAATTTTTTGTTGAGAGTCCAAGTGCCTCATGAAAAAGCCTTGGTAGTGCTTCATGAAGAAGCACTTGGCTTCTTTGACCCAAAAGTGCTTTTGAGCTTTCTGCCAAATGAAATCAGAAGTGAATTTGCTTATCAGAGAGTAGTTTTAGCTCTTCCGCAAGCAATCCCACAAGGGACCTAGTAATGGATGAAAATGGAAATTCAGTAGAGGGAGGAAGAGAGTGGGTGTGCTGACACTAAGATCTGCAGGTAGTTCTGGACCTGGATGAAACCCTAGTGTGTGCATATGAAACATCCAGCTTGCCGGCTGTAGTTCGAACTCAAGCAACTGAAGGTGGGATGAACTGGTTTGAGCTTGAATGCGTATCTTCGGACAAGGTGCTTTTTTCTTATTTACGTTGATTATCTTGCATTCCCTCCGAAAGATGAAAGTTTCTTGACGTGAGTGTGTTGGGTTTCGAAGGAATGTGATGGCAAACCGAAGGTCAATTATGTCACAGTCTTTGAGCGCCCAGGGTTGCATGACTTCCTAAAACAAGTTAGTCAGTTTGCAGAGCTTGTGTTATTCACTGCTGGTCTTGAAGGTTTGCTTATGACTTTCCGTTTCTTTGTTTCTATTTTCTCTTTGGCCGCTCGCTTTTCATGTAACTGTTTGGGATACTTATGTTTTTGTATGGTTGCAGGTTATGCTAGGCCACTTGTTGACAGAATAGATGTGGATAATCTGTTCAGTTGTCGACTTTATCGGCCTTCAACAACTAGCACGTAAGTTCTGCTGCTTGTATGTTTGATCTACTGTAAATAAGTCTGGTCTCTTCTGTGAAGATTTATAGTAATTGACTCTGATACCGTCATATGTTACCATGGTTAGCACTTTACGGACACTGGAATCTTATGGTCTTTTGTCTCATGTCATCATCACTTAGGTATATAGCCACCCTATATGGTTAGCTAATGAACCGCAGCACTCTAAGCATGAAATATTTATTCTCGTACACATGTACCGTCACTGGACTTGGTTGAATGGTGGATCATAGATCATTCTCAGTGAACTCACAATGCACGTAGAGGCCCTCCTCTCCCCCTGGCGGATGATTCATGTTGATGTTAAGTGATATGTCTTTGTTCAGTTTAGGGATCACACATTTTATGAAGAGAGTGAACGGGTTGTATGGATATGATATTTTAGCTACCGATTCTTTGGAGTTTAATATTCAGTAAGATTCTGTATAGAATGCAAACATATCATACGATTCTCAACAGATGTGCATACACTTCCACACTCAATATTTTCCTTGGTTTTATTGTTTCAAGTCCTGATTCAAATGTGTTGATGTAGAGTTTTTGGGTGACCCATTGGCTCCATTAGTTTGTTTAAATAACCAAATATTGTTATTGGAGACTTTAAATCCTTAGTTTGGTAAAATCTCTAATGCTGGATGAATACAGGGAATACCGGGAGCATGTGAAGGATCTATCTGGTCTATCAAAGGATATGCGCCGAATTGTTATTGTTGACAACAATCCCTTCAGTTTCTTGTTGCAACCTTCGAATGGAATTCCATGCATTCCATTTTCTGCCGGGCAAACACACGACACACAGGTAAAAATTTCATTATCTTGCTACAACTTTTGAAATTTCAGTACCCCTTTACTTTATCTGTTTACCTCTTTAATCTCTTTTTCATTTCCTCTTACCTTGCTGCGCAGCTTTTGGATGTTCTTCTTCCACTCCTCAAGCAGCTCTCGCTGCAGAAAGATGTGAGACCTGCCCTTTATGAAAGGTTTCACATGCCCGAATGGTTTCAAAAGCAGGGGATTCCTTCAACTGCTTGGAAATAGTAGATTTTTCAAAATTGTACGCAATGGCGTTACCCATTCTTCTTTCACGCAATCCTCGATAGTTATTCTGTTCAAGCCTCAAGGCAGCGTCTCATCGTCGGACTCCAGGTTTCTGCACAGCAGGTGTGTTCACTGCAATTTGTTGATACAAGGCTGTGTTTTCACCAGACGTCGAACTGCTGCGCCTCACTATCATACGAAAACCATTGATGTATTTAGATTTTTTAAGAAATCGATTATTCTCGTGTAACTATGTCTATATGCTTGCAGTTCTCTTCAGCGTCTGTATTTTGCTAGAATTTGTGAAATTGTTGCCAATAATTACTAGCATTTTGTACGTTCCTCATAGTGCATTGAGATTTATTTGTTGCTGATATGTCACACACTATCAATAAATAATATACATGTTAAGGGTTCCGAATCACGCAGTTCAAACCTATGACCAGACCTTTTGCAACTCTAGCCCTGGCATGGAGGCTAAACAGTCTCTCCTAGTACGGTAGTACCCACCAGAAGGAACATGAATAGACCTCACTGCTGCCCAACTGCTAATCTCTTTGATCACTTAGGCAAAGGAAAAGGGTTCGAGCCAAACTAAA